TACCCGTATTAAGGAATCCTTTTTGATTTCTTCTTCAACTTGATCTTCACCTTTACTGTTCTAAAATATATATATATATATATATATTTGCCTCTAACCGCGATATTATCATAAAAAACTACCTTTGCACCAGATTCAGGTTGTGGAGGCTTTGCACCGAGACCGAGACCATTAGGGCGTCTGGGAAGTATCCGCAAAGGGACCACCTATGAGCAACTAACATCATATTGGAGGAAAAGATTGATTAAAAGCATGCTCTTCCATGCGAATTCTGAATTAAATTCAGAAATTTGTAGTCAAGTAGATTTTGTCTTCACATGGGTAACTGCACACTTTGTGCGCACGTCCGAAAATCCCACGAACTGTTACACTACATCTTATTTAAGCCCTATCAAACAGTTTCCTATGATTCCTGTTCTCAATGAGCTAAAGTACATTCAGTTATTTACGATGACTATGTATGCTCAGTATAAATAAATCACTAGTGTTCCAATCAAATTTGCAAAATTCAGCAAAAAAGAAATGGGATACTTATGCCAAAATTCCCCCGAATTAGTGCGCATGATGTGCAATGCACATATGAACGGTGCTACTCGACTATATTTGATAAGACTACACATCTCTGATGATTTGAAAGTTTGAAAGTTCAACAGGAGAGTATGAGGTGTCATATGCGCTAGCCTCAAATGAAAGCTAATTTTGCAATGCTAAGCTTTCACGAATACCAACACCTAATCTGACTGAGTGGCAAACTGTGATCAAAAACCGAAATCATTGAAAGGAAACTTCAGTGAAACATTTGAATACAATAAATCAAGGAATTCTTGGTGGACGAACCTGTGGATGTCGTCCAATTCCCTCACCATCCTTCCATCCACACCCTCTCAAGATAGCGAGCCCAAAGTCCTCAATAGGCACCTAAAGAATCAAAATACAAGAAAGAATATATGAAACAATTATTGAAGATACGATGTGACTTTGCGAAAATTACAAGTTATTAATTTACCGCACTGTAATCAGCATCTTCGGTGACCTTCTCCGCCTCTTCTACTACTATTGCA